GCCTACAGCACCCCTGCTGGCAGTGACCGTAACTGCACCCAAGGGGAGGGTGTGGGACAGCCCAGAAGGGGCTGGGTCTGGCACTGGGTCTGTCACTGGGTCTGGCACTGGGTCTGGCACTGGGCTGACACTGGGTTTTTGGTTTGTTTGGTGTTGCTGCCGTTGGTGTTGTGTGTTTACCTAAAGGACTGTGAATGATGTTCCCGTCTCTTTGCCTGACAGCCCCGTGATTTCAAAGTTATAATAATTCTGAGGGAAGGGGGGCCATATTCACTGCTCCAAGGGTGGTTCCCCCCTTCCTGTGCTGACAGCTCTCTTTCAATCCAAGACACCAAATGAACAAGTGAGAGTGAAGCACCAGAGCCGGGCCGGGCCCTCGATCTCCTGATCCTGGGAATGTCCAGTCCCCTCTCAGGCACAGATTCCCCTCCCACATTCCTGCCAGGAATGAAATGTGTGTGAAGTTCCTCCCTTAGGAAGGGGATGTTCCCCACGGCTTCTCCTCGAGGCTCAGAGAAAGAGACCTTCCCACCAGGGCTGAGTGGGGAGTGACATCGAGCCCTGCTTAGGAATCGGCTCTTTTTGCTGGTTTAGATAGAATTGTTCAATGGAATTGTTTTGATAGAATTATTGGATAGAATATTTTAATAGAATTGCTTTGATAGAATGATTTGATTGAATTGCTCTGCACAATGTCATTGGTGGTCACAGTGGTCACAGTGGCTGCAGTGGCCTTGTGGCTCAGAGGGTCTTGGTGACCATGGTGGTGGTCCCAGTGGCCTGATAGTGACTATAGTGGACAATGTGACAATAGAGACAGTGGTGGCCTTGGTAGCCTCAGTTGGCCTCACTGGTCTTGGTGGCCTCAGTGACTGTTGTGGCAGTGGTGTCCATAGTTGTCATGGTGACCAGAATTACTACGATGGCCACGTGGCCCAGAGAAGATCCCGGTGGCCACTGCAAGGGCTGCCAGGGCCAAGAGGAGCCATGCGATCAGCGGGGGGTCCCTGGGGCTGCTTCNTTGGTGGTCACAGTGGTCACAGTGGCTGCAGTGGCCTTGTGGCTCAGAGGGTCTTGGTGACCATGGTGGTGGTCCCAGTGGCCTGATAGTGACTATAGTGGACAATGTGACAATAGAGACAGTGGTGGCCTTGGTAGCCTCAGTTGGCCTCACTGGTCTTGGTGGCCTCAGTGACTGTTGTGGCAGTGGTGTCCATAGTTGTCATGGTGACCAGAATTACTACGATGGCCACGTGGCCCAGAGAAGATCCCGGTGGCCACTGCAAGGGCTGCCAGGGCCAAGAGGAGCCATGCGATCAGCGGGGGGTCCCTGGGGCTGCTTCYACCTGAGGGGACAAAGAGGGAGGGGAGGAGGCGATGAGGGTTTGAGGGCATTGGGGGCCCACAGGGGTGACAGGGGAGCCATGAGAGGGTCGGGGCTGAACGGGGCTGTGATGGGGTCCCTGTCCACTGTGCCCAGCCATGGCTGTCCTTGTTCCCCCAACCCCAGTGGGTGTCCCCAGCACGGGCTGACCCTGTCCCTGTGTCCACAGTGGGTCTCCCCATCCCTTGTCCCCAGCAATGTCCCTGTCCCCCACTCTCCCCGAGTGTCCCCACAGGGGTGTCCCCATGATATCACCTCCCAGCCATTCGCAGTTGTACTCGTTATGCATCCCGCTGGAGCGGAGCTCGATCTGCGTCTTGTCCCTATCCAGGATGACCTTGGTGACCTCGAAGGTTTCGAAGGGCGGGATCAGCACCTCCTGCTGGCTGCGATTGAAGGAGAAATCTGCTATGACCACRCCGTAGCAGGTGGTCACCTGGAAGAACGTGTCCGTCCCGTATTCCTCGGAGACYGTTTTGCTCAGCGATGTGGACGTGAATTGACCGAACCGAACYGTCTGGCCGGGCCGCGCCTCGAACCGGATGTTGCGCACACCCCGGAACACTTCACGACAGTTCAAGTGCCTAGTGGCCCAGAGCGTGGTCAGGGCATCGGTCAGCAGGAAATGCAGGGCTTTGAAGTSGAAGTTGTTTCGGTATTCCCAGGAGGAGTACCCGGCCTCGCGCACGGCGTTGTTGAACTCCTTGTACAATGATGTTGGCCCCGTGTAGGCCATGATGGCGATGGCCTGGTCCGAGGATGAGAGACCGGACATATGGGACCCGCGCTTCTGCCACTCGGCCGTGGCCTGAGCCCAGGCCTGGGCRAACAGAGAGTTCTGCTGGAGCTCTGACCAGTGCAAGGCCGGCAATGCCGCAGTCATTTTGTCACGGCAGCCCCAGTACCGGTCATCGAAGGAGTTCGGGGCCATGTCCATGGGCACCTCATCCATGACTGCAGTGGCCGTGGTCATTGCCAGCAGTGCCAGGGTCTGAGCCAGGGGGGCCATGGCGGGGAGAGGTCACCTGGAGCTGTGTGGGACAATGGGAGACACAGGGACACGGAGGGGACACTGTGGGACACAGGAAGGGTTCCTTGGTGAGGGGCTGGGGAGGGGAACTGGGGTCAGCCCAGGGGAGTGAGGCAGCTCTGGCCAGCAGACCCCTGGACATATCCTGGGATGCTGACCCCAAACCCTGGAGTCACTCCTGCACACCACAGTGTCTCCCAGTGCCCCTAAACAGCAACCCCACTCCCACAGTCCCATGTCCCCCATCCCTGGTGTCTACCCAGCCGCCTCAGTCCCTGGCTCAAATTCTGGGGTCGCTCCTTGTCCCCCCAGCAGTGTCCCCCATGACCCCAATGCTGTACCCATGATGCCCCCCTGGGCCCCACTTCTGTGTCCCCCCCCATGTCCCCCCTGTGCCCACCAGCCCCACAACCCCACTCCCAGTCCCATGGCCCGTCCCTGGTGTCCCTCCAGTGTCCCCAGTACCCCAATCCCAGTCTGCTCCCAGTCCCCTGTACCACTCCCATGACCCCAACCCCAATCCTGGAGTCCCCCAGTGTCCTCATTAGCTCTCCCCTGGACCCCAATCCCGCTCCCAGTCCCATCACCCCTTCAGTGTCACCCCAGACCCCCAACCCAAATTGCGGCATCACCCCCTGCCCCCCATGGCCCCAGTCCTACTCCCAGTCCCATGTCCCCTCTGGTGGCCCCTCAGCACCCCAATCCCGCTGTCCCCAATCCCACTGCCCCATGTCCTCCCACTGTCCCCTGGTGTCCCCCGAGTCCCCGATACCCAAATGCTCCGCAGTGACCCTCGTGCCAGGACGGGAACTGTGGGGCAGTCGGGATTCTCTCTCAGTGCAGCTCGCAGCGGCTCTCTCCTGCTTGGAGCTGAGGGGAGGTTTTATCCACCTCAATTACACACATTGATTAAAATGGGCTTCTTCGCTAATGCAGAAACTTCCTTTTCCTGTAACTAATTTGCATGGCTCCACGTCTCTCTGAATGCCCTTTTATGGTAATGGAGAGCTTCCAAAAGTGATGTTTGGGGTTGTATTCACAAAGTGCCCCAATATCACA